TATCAAAAAAGTTTAAGAAGAAGAAGAAGAAGTTACTGCTATAATCCTTGCCTTCAGTTCATCTTTGGTGTTACAAGGAGACCCTCGCTCAACTGCGCTCCACACATAATCAACGAGGTTGCTTTCTGGAGAGTTATGCGGCCAGATGTAATGGGTGATGTATTCGCAGAAATTGTCTGAAACCCATGACTTGTTCTCCTCATTGTATGGCATGGTGCAGAGTCCTGTTGCCAGACATAGGATCTTCCAGCAGCCACGCTATTGACTCAGGGATGCACTACCTCCTCAAGGCACTTGATGTAAGCCTCCATGTTAAACTTGAGGCTCAGTGGGAAGATGAATGGAGGCATAACGTTGCCATCATTAATGATCACTCCAAACAGTAATCATCTTTATATTCACCCAACTCTTTCCGAATCTTTAGCAATGACATCAGATTGACACCCAAACACTCTGAAGTGTTCGTATTGGAGCTCCCAGCGCGAATGCCAAGCTGTACAGCACGCCGTTCCCAAATTTCTGGCATCATGGTGCTCTTTTTTCTCACAGACGGAGCCCAACTGACTTTGGTGTACTGTGCAGCCGACAAAATCAAACAACGCGCATGTGAGAAATTAAAAATATAACATGACGACAATTTATCCATCGCACCCTGTATATATATATATATATATATATATATATATATATATAGATAGATAGATAGATAGATAGATAGATAGATAGATTGTCGTCCACAGACAATATTGTCATCCACAGGCCGACTGTTTCGCTGTTTCACATCTCATCAGTGTGACTAGACATCCGATTACCTCATGATATACCAAACTTTCAAGTCTGTGGGTCCGTGGTCGCCTGGTTGGGAACTAAGAGAATCCGTGCACCCCTGAGTTGGGAAAGCAGTGCACAAATTCCGTGGTTTCCTGGTTGAGAAACGTCAGTCTCTTCACGTCCCACATTTTTCATTTTAAGGAGTTGGCTACCCTCGTTCCGATAGATACCCGCCATAAGCCCCACAAGGGATGCCATTTTGAAAATGCTCTCCGCCGCGTCTTTTGTCCTTTTATTAAAATCCCTTCAAAGTACTCCTTGCTCATAATTACAGTATTCAACACGTCGAAATGAACTCCTCTAGTCAGCTTATGTGCCTCTGATCCCGACATGTTCAGCTGTTACAAGGCAGTAGCTCCCGTTTTTGTCACATGTCGCTTGTCATATTTTTTATATAGTTTTTCTTAAAATACATTTCTGTTTCACTCTAAAATTCTAATTGAATTTTTTATTTTGTTCTGACCGTATAAAATTGTTGAATGATAATCTCTGAAATTTGAATTTAAAAAGTAATAATAAAAATGATTTGATTCAGCTTTGTGGGTCAACTGACCCCCTGATTGGGAACTCCTCCTAATGGAGGTCACGGGACCCGTGATTGCGCATCATCCACAGAGTCCGCAATCCTCTGGTTGATAAATACCAGTAAACTCTCACAGAGAAACCGTGTCTTGAGCTACTATTGCGGCAAACTGAATCCAGACACCAAACGTACATACGATCCATCGCTAAAGATTCTGGAAAAATGGTCGATTTCCTGTACTGTTCTTGTAAGTACCCGACCCCTCCTGAAATGCTCTAACTTTACAAGAACCAAATCAGGCCGAAAATGGAGCACTGCTGTCATATATGTGCAGAATCTACCCAGGCTTCACTATCCAGTCTCGATAGAGTTTAAAAGTGCCTCTGTATTCTTGTGGCTGATGAATTATTTCCCACCCTACAACCCCTTTCCTCACAGACGAAAAGTCGCAAGTTTGTCGCTGCTCTATCGCTATTTCCATGGAAAATATTCAAACAAACTACATTCCTTAGTTCCACTAGTTCTAACCTTCACGGTTAAGACCCGTCACAAACCCCGTACAACCACCTTCATTCCCTTCGTAATCCATTGGCGAGATGTAAGTTCCACTTGAACAGCTTCTTCCCACGAACCGCTACTTTGTGGAACTGGCTCACAAGAAGATGCTTCCCCGATCATATCTGCATAAACTGTTCCTCTTACCCTGTAATCCTCTGCCACAGCGATTCTCAGCTGTCGTGCCGCGGCAGGTTAATGTGCCGCGCGGTAAACTTAAGTGTGCCGTGAAATATTGAAGAAATCACGAAAAGACACCGGAGAAAGATTTCACACTAAATAAGCTGAACAAATAGTTGAATAGGAACATTGAAATAAATAAGTTCATATTTGGGTGTGTATTTTTTTTTAAACCTATGGTTTTATTTCATAACAAGCATATCCTTTAAAAATTTACGTCCTAGATATAACAATAAACTACATGCACGTCCTGGGTAAGACGATAAACTACATCCAAACGGCAAGGCCTCTGATCAGGAGGGTTTGAGGAGCGTGGAACCACCTCTTAATTGCTGGTGTTCCCAGGTCCACCCTGACCCGGGGTGATAGCGCCTGTTAGGGTCCCAGCTATGGGCAAATAGTTAAGCCCCAAACTGAGCTCGAAACACTATGAAAGTGTAAAAATAGTTTTTAATACCAGAAATACTTTGTAAAAAATTATTACCAGCAATATATTTTTGAAAAAAAATATTACCGGCTATAGATATTTGAAGGAAAAATATTACCAGAAATAGATTTTTTGTAGAAAAAATATTACCAGAAATAGATTTTTGAAAGAAAATATTACCAGAAATAGATGATTTTGTAGAAAAAATATTACCAGAAATAGATTTTTGAAAGAAAATATTACCAGAAATAGATTTTTTGTTTAAAAAAATATAAGCAGAAATAGATTTTTGAAAGAAAATATTACCAGAAATACATTTTTTGTAGAAAAAATATTACCAGAAATAGATTTTTGAAGGAAATTATTACTAGAAATAGATTTTTTGTAGAAAAAATATTACCAGAAATAGATTTTTGAAGGAAAATATTACCAGAAATAGATTTTTGAAGGAAAATATTACCAGAAATAGATTTTTGAAGGAAAATATTACTAGAAATAGATTTTTGAAGGAAAATATTACCAGAAATAGATTTTTGAAGGAAAATATTACTAGAAATAGATTTTTGAAGGAAAATATTACCAGAAATAGATTTTTGAAGGAAAAAGATATTACCAGAAATAGATTTTTGAAAAAAAAATTATTACCTGCAATAAAAATTTTGTCGGCATTAAATAAAACCCATTGGGTTTGATATGCCGTAAAACAAACCAAACGAAACCCTTAAAAACTTTGCTAAGTCAACGGTGATATTTTCGATTATTCTGAGGTGCGCTGTTGCATAAAAAGGTTAAGAAACATTTGTCTATCTCAGCTGGCGCTAGTACAGGTTTAAAATCATTGTTTTAAAAAAAAACTGTCTTGTATTTAATTTTAGGGACTTAGCAACACTCATCACCAACCAAAAAAAAAAAAAAAAAAAAAAGAGAAAGAGAGAATGCTCAGACTGGTGAAAGACTTTGAATTGTTGTAAATATGCTGGAATCAAAGGATTCTAATCGAACGTCCTCCGAGACAAGAAAGTGGGGATTTAGGTTACGCGCATGGAAAAGCATAGAACATATGAGAAGTGATGACTTATGAAATTACTTTAGAGCACATTTCCTGGCACGAGTGATAAAATATACCGTAAAATACTTTCATTCGGTGTCCAAATTATCGAGTTACCAAAACAGCATTATTTTATTCATATTTGATCAAACTGAAAAAACTATTAAATTATTTGGTCAGTCATGTAAATCTAATCCCACGTAAATGACAAGTAGTATCATTTACGAGGCTAATCAGAAAGTTATAGACGCTTGCTAACACATCGAATAACAAAAAAGAAATCTGAAAATACGCATGCTCAAATTTCGTTTTTACAGATGGTGCATTAATTTCCTTTTGACTTTATTTATGTAAATGCAGAGTTTATTTCATTAGTGTATGGTTTCTTTTTTTAATTAACCCGACCGAATCAACACTGAGGTCACAAACAACGGTATTTGATATCTTCATATTGGAAAAGTTATTTACAGAGCTTAGCTAAACTTAACATGAGGACAAAAAATGGGGGGATATTATATGATAGCAAAGATCAAAATGTAACAACTTTACTCCAGTCGGTTCTTATTGATTTAGAGTGTTCATAAATCGTTAGTGTCTCCGATCATCTTCAGGTTAACAAATCTCCATATGTATGAGCGAGTGCTAAAAAGTACTCGTCAAGACCCACTTCCTAAAATCAGTATTTCAATGTCCAAACACTAGAATTTGTCAAAGGATTAAAGACGGCGTGCTCAGAAAAATTAAACTTCCTGTTTTTAATTAAAGTTCACACATTACAGGGCCAAAGAGCCACTCAAGGAAGAGGATTACTTAATGAGATGCGTGATAGGAATGTAAAAGGAAGTGGTAGGAAATTAATATTACGAGGATATGGCAAATGATTGATCTTAGAATTGAAGAGTTAGAGACTGTAGTGTTCTGGTTGGTTGTCTTTGTTTAACGGCATATCAACACCTCTATGGGTTATTTAGTGCCAAAATCTAAATATTTTGATTGATTTGGTTAGTTATCTTTGTTTAGCGGCATGTCAACACCTCTATGGGTTATTTAGTGCCAAAATCTAAATATCTTGATTGATTTGGTTAGTTATCTTTGTTTAGCGGCATGTCAACACCTCTATGGGTTATTTAATGCCGAAATCTAAATATTTTGATTGGTTTGGTTGGTTGATTTTGTTTAGCGGCATATCAACATCTATATGGGTTATTTAATGCCGAAATCTAAATATTTTATACGCAGTTCTTTTTAAATCATAATGGTGTTAGCGATTAATACGTTTTTACTTATTAACCCATGGCAGGGGGAGAAGAGGTGGATTCATACCTTTTCCTTTCCACATGAGTGAACATAACAAACCCAACTGGAATTAGAACTGGACACTCCGATTAAGAATTCCGAGTCATTATCCATTACATCAACCGCCCATCCAAGCTTAGAGCACCTGGTATTCCCAAGCGGTCACCCATCTACGTACTAAACAGGCACGACGTTGCTTAACGTCGGTGATCGTACGGGAACAGGTGTTTCAACGTTCTGTGACCGTAAGACTTACTGTTCTGGGAAGCCGCAGGAGTTTGTTCGAAAAGGTAGCAGTTCTTGCTAAAGGGTTACGTAGGGAATAGGGATGATTCAACTCCGTGGACGTAGTCTTCTGGCAAGCCTCCACACAAGTGTTTGTTCGAGAAGGTAGTGGTTCTTAGAAAAAAATATACTACTTGGAACACCCTTCTTGCTAAAGGATTACGTAGGGAATAGGGATGATTCAACTCCGTGGACGTAGTCTTCTGGCAAACAGCCTCCACACAAGTGTTTGTTCGAGAAGGTAGTGGTTCTTAGAAAAAATATACTGATTGGAACACCCTTCTTGCTAAAAAAATTACGTAGGGAATAGGGATGATTCAACTCCGTGGACGTAGTCTTCTGGCAAGCCTCCACACAAGTGTTTGTTCGAGAAGGTAGTGATTCTTAGAAAAAAATATACTAATTGGAACACCCTTCTTGCTAAAGGATTACGTAGGGAATAGGGATGATTCAACTCCGTGGACGTAGTCTTCTGGCAAGCCTCCACACAAGTGTTTGTTCAAGAAGGTAGTGGTTCTTAGAAAAAAATATACTACTTGGAACACCCTTCTTGCTAAAGGATTACGTAGGGAATAGGGATGATTCAACTCCGTGGACGTAGTCTTCTGGCAAGCCTCCACACAAGTATTTGTTCGAGAAGGTAGTGGTTCTTAGAAAAAAATATACTACTTGGAACACCCTTCTTGCTAAAGGATTACGTAGGGAATAGGGATGATTCAACTCCGTGGACGTAGTCTTCTGGCAAGCCTCCACACAGGAGTTTGTCCGAGAAGGTAGCGGTTCTTAGAAAAAAAAATATACTGATTGGAACAACCTTCTTGTCTAAAGATTACATCGGGAATGGAGATGATTCAACTCTGTGGACGTAACTATAAATGTCTTAAGTGGTGGAACTAAAGAATGGAGCTCGTCCGCACCTTTACACGGAAGTAACAACAAAATAGCGATTTTCTCGGGATGTTTCGCCTGAGGGAAAGAGATCGTACGGTGGAAAATAAGTCATCCCTTGCAAGACCGCACAACCGATTCTGAACTCTATGAGTGTTGGAAAATTGTGGAATGAACATATTACGGCAGCAATATTTTATTTTTGTTCTGATGTGACGCCTGAAAAGATGATTCGTGACAGGAGTCAGCTACTTCCTGGAACGGTACAAGGATCCGTATCTTTAGCGAGGGATTGTATATGTGAGTGCCACTTGAAGCCTGGAGGGTGAAAATGAATCCCAGTAGACGCTCAAAGCCCGAAACCTCATCGAGATTGCAACCGGTCATTAGAACGGGGGGAAATTCAAAGTCTGCTCTATGATACAGGGTAGGAAAGGAAATCAAGAAGAAAGAAAAAACTTTAAACTGAAGGTCAAATTGGCAGCTGATCTCAAAAATGATATACAATCTGTTGTTAACTGGGACAAGGAATGGCTTGTTAATTTTGACGCCACCAAATCGAAATTGCTTTCTAGTAATCGTCTGAAAGACCCCTCTCTGCCGTCCATCAGCATGGCTGAGTGTAACCTTCAGCTGAGTGCCGCTTTGCGCCTTTTCGGACTGACGTTCTCTGCTGACATGAAGTGAAAAGATCATATTAAATCAAATACAGAAATTTCTTTTCTGCTGCTCGGAAAGTTGGTTCACTGTGTCGCGCTAGACAAGTTTTCTCTCCAGAATCTATCTAATATATTTATAAGTCTACTATACGTCTATGTATTGAATATTGCTGCCACAGAAGGCCTGGTGCGTATTTAGAGGTTCTTGATGAAATCCAAAAACGAATCTTCAATGTTATTGATCCTCACCCGGCATCTCGGCTTCAGACACTTTCCCGCCGCCGTAACGTAACTACCTTGTGTCTTTTCTATAAATACTTTATTGGAAATTGTTTTGATGAGCTCTACTCAAAGGTACCTCGAGTTTATGGATTTAAGCGCAATACTAGATTGTCACATCATTATACAGTTGATATTGCTAGATGTAACCGTAAGTTCTATGCTAACAGTGTCTTCTCTCGCACTTCTCACTTGTGGAATGCTCTTCCGGCTTCTTACTTCCCAGTCAACATTGATCTTCAAAAATTTCAATATAATGTCAATCGTTATCTTCTGTCTTCTTAATTCTTGTTCTATTATTGTTCTTTCCCCTTAATAGTGTTTAATCCCTTTTCTAGCACTCAGTAAACTATTGCGTCTTAGTGACTGTATTGCCTTTCTTGGGGTGGAATGATACTTTTTAAAGCGGAAATAGACTTTCATTATTTTACAGATGAAATGGCTAGATGTAACCGTAAGTTCTATGCTAACAGTTTCTTTTCTCGCACTTCTCGTTTGTGGAACTCTCTTCTGGGCTCTTGCCTTGCAGTCAAGTTTGATCTTCAAAAATTTAATGGAATTTCAATTGTTATATTTTGTCTGCTTATTTCTTGTTCTTTTGTTGCATTCCCTTTTTACTTATGTTTTTTTTTTCTTTTACTCTCATTCTTTTACGCTCTGTAACAACTTCAGTCTTAGTGCCTTTCTTGCTTTCCTTGGAATGGAATGACTAAAAGAAAAAGTTGTGCCAAATTAAGTTCAGATTTTTCAGACCCTAGATACAGTTGGGTTTCGGCGGCTTTCAAATTGCTGATTATCGCCATGATCTAACTTTGACCAATTGACGAACATCGGTCAAATGAATTGCTGAGACACGAAACCATCTTCCACACGTATCCATATAAAATATGCCTCTTACTCTGTAACCCGGTACCTCGAGTGGCTGTTGGGTATTGTACCGGGTGAAGAAAATTCAAATGAGAAAACAGTGAATTTTTTACGGGTACTACTAACTGCGTTAAGTTTTACTACAGAAATTTAATGAATCGTGACAGAAGGAGTCAGATACTTTCTGGAACGGTACAAGAATCTGGCCATTTTTTCACAGCATCTTTTAGCGAGGGATTCTATATGTGAGTTCCACTTGAGGCCTTGAGAATGAAAATGAATCCCAGTAGACGCTCAAAGCCCGGAACCTCATCGAGATTGCAACCGGTCATTGGAAAGGGGGGGATTCAAGGTCTGCTCTATGATACAGGGTAGGAAAGGAAATCAAGAAGAAAGAACAATCTCTAAACTGAAGGTCAAATTGGCAGCTGATCTAAAAAAATGACATACAATCTGTTGTTAACTAGTACAACGAATGGCTTCAGTCTTAGTGCCTTTATTGCTTTCCTTGGAATGGAATGACTAAAAGAAAAGGTTGTGCCAAATTCAGTCCAGATTTTGAGATCCAAGATACAGTCGGATTTCGGAGGCTTTCAAATTGCTGATTATGGCCATGATCTAACTTTGGCCGATTGACGATCATCGGTCAGATGAATTGATGAGACACGAAGGTACCCAGGGTATTTATTGGATTTACAATTCACGAGCAATTAATTACGCAAAGGCGGTCAGCTAACTAGATGCTGAAACGTTTGAATGCTGACCAGAAATGATACCGAGTTAACATCTCCGATTCGATTTTACAGCACTTTCAAAAACCCACTGCTCCTGTTCATAGGACCTGGGGGGAGTGTGAAGACCTAAGAGGAGTGCGAACCGGGCGAAACTGTCTACTCCTAATTCCAATACCAAACATCAGAACTTTTATTACAAAAGACCTCCAATCCTGTTCGATATACGTGCTAGACAATTTTTCTATCCAGAACTTATAAATACTTTCATGGTAATTTTTCGGGTGAGATCTTCGCTATGGCAGCAAGACTTTATGAATTTAAATAGATTGTCACATCATTATACAGCTGACATTACTAAATGTAACCGTAAGTTCTATGTTAACAGTTTCTTCTCTCGCACTTTGTGGAACTCTCTTCCAGCTCCATGCTTTCCAGCCAACTTTGATCTTCAAAAATTTAAATGCAATGTCAATCGTTATCAACTGTCTTCTTAATTATTCTTTTAATGTTTTTTTCCCATAATAGTGGTGTTTTTCTTATATTCTTTATAACACAGTAACCCCTTGTGTCTTAGTGGCTTTATTGCCTTGCTTGGGGTGAAATGATTTTTTAAAATGCAGTAATGTAGATTTTAGAATTTAATTGATTAGATTTAACCATATGTTCTATGGGGACTAATTTATTACTTAACTTGCAACATAATTAGTAGATAGCCGCCTTAGCAGACGGAATATTCTTGGAAAACGAGTAGCCAGACATTATGTGGGCATGTATGTATGCACAATTCAGTTTATGATCTTTCCTCTATGATAACTAGACTTTAACTCGACGAATTTAAGAGCAGTACTAGATTGGTAACAAGGTCTCATCAATTTACGGTTGAATTGGTTAGATGTAACCGTAAGTTCTATGCTAACAGTTTCTTCTCTCGCATAAGATCCACTTATTGGCGTCTCGGCTTCAGTCACTTTCCTACCACCATAATGTAGCTTCCCTGTGCCTTTCCTTTAAATAATTTCATGCTAATTCTTCTTTTCACTATGGTACATAGATTTTATGAATTTAAGTGCAGTACAAGATTGACAGAAAAGTCTCATCATTTTACAGCTGAAATGGATGGAAGTAACCGTAAGTTCTATGCTAACAGTTTCTTCTCTCGCATTCTTTGCTTGTGGAACTCGCTTCCAGCTCCATGCTTTCCAGCCGGCTTTGATCTTCAAAAATTTAATGCATTGTCAATCGTTATCTACTGCCTTCCTGATTACTCTCCCTCATTCTCCTTGATATTTCTGGGGTTTTTTTTTATAATTCTTTCATACTCAGTAAACACTTGTGTGTTAGTGACTTTACTGCCTTGCCTGGGGCGAAACTTGTTATTAAAGTGTAAAGAAACTTGAAACGTGGCTGTCAGTAATAAGGAATAAATCAAGATTTACAGATAGCATAGAATTATTAAATAGATCATTTAAAAGTATCATATTTTAATTCTACTTGTTCCTCAGTTCATTAGTTAGCTGGCACGACCGTTACGCCTTGCCAATACCTCATAAATCATGCACTATTCCTTTTAGATCGCGAGGAAAGACGGGAAAGACATATCAGAGTCGCTGTTTGATTTCAGTAAAAAGAATTTGTTTTGATTTGTTTGTTTAACGGCATATCAACTTCTTATGGGTCATTTAATGTCGAAATTTAATTTTCTTGAGAGATTTGAAGTAATAAATAAAAATATGATATATGTTATTCTGATTTCACAAGTGAATACATGGTAAATGATACTCAGCTTTTGTGTATATACATGTTTGTGTGGACATAATTACTATAGGCGGTAATATCTGTGTTTTATATTGTAGTTTTGTTAAAGTTATATTTTTGAATACGGTTTGATTTCTTTAAGAAATTGTAGGATATTATACAAAATAATGTCATGAAAGAACCCTTTCATTTTGGTTGTTTGGTTAATTTTTTCATGGCATATCAACACCTCTATGGGTTAATAATACCGAAATCTAAATATTTTGAACGCAATTACATGCCTTCAACTACAGAATAAATGTATTGTTGGTCATTTTACTATAAAAATGTATTTTTATACTTTCATTGTGTTTTGTTTTTGTTTTGGGGTTCAGTTTGCCCATAGCTGGGTCCCTAACAGGTACTACCACCCCAGGTCGGAGTTGACCTTGGAACAACAGCAATTAAGAGGTGGTTCAACGCTCCTCAAAACCTCCAATCTCCTGATTAGAGGTCTTACTGACGAATGTATTTTATCGTCATACCCAGGACTAAGAAACAAAGAAAAAAGGAAAATAAATATAGAGAAGGCGATAACCCTCTCATATGTTTAACGTCTGCTTCAGTGAAATGGAAATACTTGTCAATTTTAAATATTTTTATTTGTATCCTATTAATTCTTTAGATAACGACCTACATTCATATTTTTGATTGTTATTACAATATGTTGTTAAAGTTATTAATCTCACATATTTAACAATGCAATAGGGAAATTCCATGGGTATTTTGTAGTCGTGAAAACCACAACTAGTTTATGTAAGTTCAATTCAAGCAGCTTCTCCCTACGGACCGCTACTTTGTGGAACCGACTCTCAAGAGGATGCTCCCCTGATCATTATAGTCTTAACTTGTCCAAGTCTAGAGTCAACCGTTATCTTCCACGCGTATCCATATAAACCGTGCCTCTTACTCTGTAACCCGGTAGCTCGAGTGGCTCTTGGGCATTGTACCGAGTGAAAAAAAATTCAAATAAGAAAACTGTGAATTTTTTACGGGTACTGCTTTAAATTTTACTACAGAAATCCAATGAAAATTATTATAATATCACATTGAAACACAGGTGCCCGTACGATCACCGAAGTTAAGCAACGTCGAAACTGTTCGGTATCTAGATGAGTGACCGATTGGAAATACCAGGTGCTGTAAGGTAGGATGTGCGGGTGATATGGCTTACGACCATATCACATTGAAACACCACTTCCTAATGTATGTGATCACCGAAGTTAAGCAACATCGAGCCTGGTCATTACCTAGATGGGTGACCGATTAGAAATACCAGGTGCTGTAAGCTAGGATGTGAGGATGGTATGGTTTACAGCCATGTCACAATGAAACACCACTTCCCAATGTATGTGATCACCGAAATTAAGCAACCTCGTGCCTGGTCAGGACCCAGATGGGGGACCGATTGAAAATACCAGGTGCCGTAAGCTAGGATGTGCGGGTAGTATGGCTTACGGCCTTATCACATTGAAACACCACTTCCTGATGTATGTGACCACCGAAGTTAAGCAACATCGAGCCTGGTCATTACCTAGATGGGTGACCGATTAGGAACTCTTCTCCACCCAGATATGGGTTAATTATTAGAACTTGTATCACTAAAATCATTATTATCTCAAAAAAATAATTCTTAAAATCTAAAAATTTTCTAGCTTTAAATAGCCTGCAAAGGGTTGATAAGCCGTAAAAAACGAATCAATCAATCAAATACTGATTAACTACACAGACATCCCTTAGATTTATTTACACTCTGGAATGTAAATATATAGAAACTGCAGTGGCTACTAAGTAAGGGATCAGTTTATATATTAATTGTAATATATAATTGATCCCCCACTTCATTGATTCACATTATATGTTCTTGTTTGTTTTATAAATTCTGATTAGGTATCAATCCACCTTTTCTCCCCCAGCAATGGGTTAATTAGTAAGAGTTACATAACTAAAATCATTATTATCTTAAAAAAGAATTCTTACAATCTAAAAATATTTTCTGGCTTTAAATAACCTACAGAGGGTTGATAAGCCGTCGAAAACGAATCAGTGCAAGTCATCCGGAATTAATGCAAGAATTACTGACAGAAACGGGATATTATATGTATACAGTGAGTCCCCGCCTATTCGCGGTTCAGCATTCGCGGCTTCACACATTCGCGGATTATTTTTTTAGAACACATTTACTTGTTATTCGCGGAAAGCGCGAATATTCGTGTGTTTTTCTGAAGAACATATGTACAAATTATCCGCTGAGAACTTCCTCGATTCGCGTATTTTTTCGATAGAACATATTTTAAAATATTCTTGTATTATTTTCCTGTTATTTAAGTTACTTAAAACATATAACAGTCCATTTTCATGGTAAAAATTGGCAGAATTGTACATCTTCATTGTTAAAAAACAAACGCAAAAACATGCGTAGTGCTTGGCCTTTGTTCTGTGTTAGGGGCCGCGGCTAGGGTCTTAAAAGTGGTTCTGTTTTTAGAAAATGTTTTAAACATTTATGTCTTGTTACACATATTTTATACAGAATTTTCAATGGTTGTATGGATTTATGCGTAATTAAAAACGGTTATTGTACGTATGAAAGAAAATTTACGCTAAGTGTATGGTCACTAATACTATTTTTTAAAAATGTTTTTAAAAGGGTTTGAAATGTTTCTCAAGTGTTTAGAATGAAAGTGTAAGGCATATGGGGTTTTGAGAATCAAAATAGGTACTTATAAGCACTTTTAGGTGGGTAACAAGTATTCGCGGATTCTAACTATTCACGGGCGTTTCTGGTTCCCAGGCCCCACGAATATGAGGGACTCACTGTAATGTAAATGCAATGCTAATTATTACAGAAAAGGGTCAGGGCTGACTATTAAGATTAAGAAGAAAGAATGCATGGTCGTCAGCAAAAGAGACACCTCAAGATTTAAAGTAGTTATTGGGAACGTCAAAAGGAAGCAGGTAGAGAAATTGAACTATCTGGGTAGTGTAGAAACGAATGATGTTGGTGTGACACAGAAATTCCGAAGGGGTGTGGACATAGCAAAAGATGCATTGCAAGAACTGATGAATATATTTTGATATACAACAGGAGTCGACAACTTTTTTGGAGAGAGTGGGCCAGGCGGCTATGCAGTGTCTTGAAGGAGGACTGATATAAAATGCAATATAATAAATTGTCTTGAGCTCAGACCGCTCCGTCCAGAAGGCTGCCTTGGTCTGAAGGTTTGAAGAAAAAACAACGAAGTTAATGTTATATTATTTGAATAAGGTTCTTTATTTTACTGCAGGATGAGGACAATAGTCCGAATAATGTAAATAATGTACATAATACCTCATCTCAGAAATATGGACAGATACTGAAAGGCCGAAACGTTGTAATAAATATGGCGACAAAGATGATGACAATAGTCCGAATAATGTAAATAATGTACATAATATAATCTCAAAATATGGACAGATACTCATCTTGTAATAAATAATATGGACAGATACTAAAGACCGAATCGTTGGACAGAATAAATACCGAATCGACAAAAATATGGACAATAGTCCGAATAATGTAAATAATGTACATAATACCTCATCTCAGAAATATGGACAGATACTGAAAGGCCGAAACGTTGTAATAAATATGGCAACAAAGATGAGGACAATAGTCCGAATAATGTAAATAATGTACATAATACCTCATCTCAGAAATATGGACAGATACAGAACCCAGTCTGTCCTGCATAGCTGGGAAAAGAAATGAATCTAAATTATTTATCATTATTCGTAATGGATCAAAGGTATATTTTATTGACATTATTTCATAAATTATTCATACTCGTATCCTCATCTTTGTTGCGTCCTCGGTAAGACGATAAAGTACATCCGACTGCAAGGGCTCTGATCAGGAGGTTTTGAGGAGCGTGCAACCACCTCTTAATTGCTGGTGTTCCCAGGTCCACTCTGACCCGGAGTGGTAACACCTGTTATGGTCCCAGCTATGGGTAAATAGTTAAACCCCAAATTGTGGTCAAAACGTGTTAAAATAGGTTTGAATACCCGCAAGATATTTTTGCAAAAAATTATTACCAACAATAAATTTTAGAAGAAAAAAAATATTACTAGCAATACATTATTACCAAAAATACTTTTTGAAAAAAATATTACTAGCAATAAAAATCTTGTCTGCGTTAAATAACCCATTGAATGCCGTAAAACAAACCAAACTAAAAGCTCATCTTTGTTTTAGTGATTACACTTCGACTGGTGTACTCATTGACTTTTTTTCTGGCTTCTGCTAAAAAGGGTTAGAAAAATGTGTTATTTCTTTTCGCTCAAAATTAATTGAACAGTGAAATTTGATCGTACGCAATATAGTTTCCTGCGTTATAAATTGTTGCCTTCGTATGAAAATAAAAAGAAGAAAAAAAAGACACCGCGATTGTATTTGCCGACAGTGCTACGGGAATAAGTTTTAGAGTCCAAAGTCTTTTTTCAGGTATAGTGGTAACGCATTGTGGTGGTGTGTGACGTGGGGGTAGGTTTCAACAGCTGGACTACTGATGCCAGGGTACGTAAAAAAAAAAAAAAAAAAAAAAAAATTTGGCCTTTAAAAAATCCAGCGTGCGAAAGACCGGAAGTTAAACGGCGTGATATTTCCGGCTTGCTGACTTTGACAGCCATGAGTTATAGCTTACTTATTTCAACTCTTATTAGCAAACTGGAATGTTGGGGAACTCTCGTGTCGGTTTCTTGGTAAATTGGGCGGTCGAACATTGGGAGGGGGGTATATATTGATATTTGCATACTTAAAGATTTAAATGAAATGCTTAAATAAGGATTTTGATATTTTTTTTATTTCAACAATGAACCTCCTGCGAGCACCTGCTATAGGAACATGGTTGGCGTATTTGATCCGTTTATCATTGAAAGCGAGTTCCTTTCGCCGGGTATATGGCTCTGTGCCAAGACGAAAGAATTCAAGAAATATTTGTTAGATTTACGCAAGAAAAATAAAAACAACCCAGATTAAAATGTATACTGCTTGCCCTTGTTCCCACTGAGTTCAAGCATACACTGCCCGGCCCAGGGATTGAACTCACAACTACTATATCACCAATTTATTGAACGCGGTCACTACAGTGAATTCTGAACTGAACCCTTTATTCAATCTACCAGGGTAGACTGTTCTCCTTCCACTTTCCATGTCTAAAGATATCTCGTGTATTTTTAGTACTGCTCAGTTTTCTCAGCCTGCTCCGATTGACTTCAAGCACACACTGCCCGGCCCAGGGATTGAACTTACAACTACTATATCACCAAAATCACAAAACGACGCTTTAATTCACTCGGTTATTGTCCTGTAGTACAAGTGTCCGTGAAGAACACTGACCTTTAAATTTGAACTTGTAGTAATACTCCATTGCTGTTCACTTTTGGCAATGGCAAGACTATGCCTTTAATATATATTATTTATAAAAGCAATTAAAGCCTATCTAATTAAATAATGTCACTGTTTTATTGCATTTTTTATTTTACTATTCGGAGCAGATTTTCGGGAATACAGTAACTCTTTGAAGAAAATGGAAAATTTACATTCTCCAAGGAGTCCTGCTTTTAATTGATAAAGTTAGCGATTAGAATTTAATTTGTCGAAATTTCATGAAATTAAGTTGTGGGTAACAGATGGTAAAAAAAAATTACCCAAGATTTTCTAAAAAATAAAGATTTCCAAAATAATTTTATTCATTTATGAATAAGTTCTCAAAGTTTCATTAAAATCCGACAATTATTTGATTTTTGCAAGAATTTCCAAATCATTGTGGCGCTAAAATGCGTAAAAAAAGATTTTTAACCAAAATTTCGAACGTGCTAGAAAGGATAAAATATTTAATAAAATAATAAAAAATATTTTGGTCTTTCCTCTTAATAATACAATAAAGATTTTGACGATAAAACATTGTTTTTATGAAATTTAGTGCATTTTTTCATCATGCTATACTGTTTTCAACGAATTAATGGCGGTTTCTATGGCAATGGCATTATTATCTGGGAAAACTCGGCGTTCATTGGCCGAGCAGTTGGTGCTACTGTTGGTTGAAATTTATAAATTCTTTCTCTTAAAATATTTTTTTCTGAAAAATAAGTTTCTCACATCCACTGTCATCGATCTTTCTAGTCTTTCATAAAGTTTTCCTGGCTAATATATGTTCAGTGTAGTGTGGGAAATGAACATCTTGAATATGTCATTATTTTTTTCTCTTCCATTTACGTGTGTTATCCATTTTAGTTGTTGAAGCTGGTT